TTTCAATGATTTTACTACATTAGAAATCATTTTTATTGTCAATTGTGATTTCTTATTTTTTTTGTTCATATTTAGTTTGGAAATTTCTGGAAGTGATTAATAGTTGGTAGTTTAAAATGTACACGTAAACAAGTTTGATGTCGCATTGTCAAATGTTTACCACTGTAAAGTTCAGTATGGTTGTAGTTCGTACTTTGCTTGCGGTTGAGCACGCACCATCGATATCCGATATGAAACAGTATTTTTTTTTATATTTTTCGGTAATTCACATTGGGAATTTCCAAAAAAAATCGATCTTTCTGGATGGTTTCGGATCATTATTTTATTCCTATTTTTCATTTTAATTAATAATAAAAAGTTTCAAACAAGTTTCAAGCGTATTTGTTTTATTTTTTACCGATTTAAGTTTCGAACGATCTTTGTTAAAGTTCAAACATTTAAACGACAACATTCGTTTAATGTGTAAATGTAAACAAAAGAGCTAAAGCTAATACGATACAATATAATTGGATTTTTTTTATCTCATCACCGAAACACTGAACTTCATGTAAAATAGTATATAGAAAAATTCATAAAAAATATAACGAATAAAATGAAAGAAGAAAAAAATCGCCGAATTTCATGGTAAATTTTTGCAAAAAGGAATGCGGTTTGACTGTATTGATTAGGCTGACATTAGCGTTTCACTCCACAGCGCTATCCCATTACTGTTTACCACGAAGACTTTTGGCTGCTCGGTTTCCCGCCTGGCCCGGTGCGTCTTTCCTTAGCCAACCTGCACACATCGGACTCCTCCATTGTGTGCATATTGATGGTAAACTTAATGCGGACGCCGTGTCAACATGAACCATCTAACATACAGAACCCCCAATCTCAAACCAGTCCACAAACCAGACCTCCGAGAAGCCGGATTACAGAAGCTGCCAAACTCCCAGTCGAAAGTATATGCGTTAATTATCGATGCTATGATACGTCAAAGCAGTGGTTTGAAAATGTTGGTTTTAAAGCATAAAAAGTGCGTTTTGAGTCGAGTTTTTTGCATATTATCAATTAAAACGTGTGTTTGCTTCATTTTTTGTTGAAAAATCAAAGGAATTATGTTAAAATTAATGAAAATTCATCATTTTTTTGTTTCAATGAAATGGTGGGCTTGTACGTAGTTTGTTCGATATACACTGTCCGTTTTCAAGTACCAATGAAATACATCTATCGAATCTCAGTGTCGAAGGTTTTTTTTTCCGCATTGGTTTTTTATCAGACAAACATTTTTATTTTCTTGATCAAAATAATAAATTAATTCGAAAATGAAATATATTTTATTGCATCAGAATTTTTGTAAAACGTTTGAAATAAATGATCGATTCCCATAGCGTTTGTACAGACAGAACAAACTTAATGCGAACAGTGTATCGAAGCCCGAAACGTCATACACACTTTACTAGATGGTTATGTATTTGAATGTTACGATGACAGAAGTGTTCGCCCATACACATACGCAATAATAATAGATTTGCCGCACGTGGAATTGAAAACAAAGCGAAAAAATACCAAAAAATGGTTTGTAATAATTGTTGAAATCGAAATTTCCATACATTTTTTGATAATTTCAAGTATATTTTACATTTTGAAATACTTTTTGGTTGAAATTAACACGAAAAACATGTAAAATTGTATGATTTTAAGGATGTACTAAGCCGACCAGCCGAGGAATTCGGCAACGATGAATCCGTTGAGGCGATGTGGGCAATGCGAGCATTTGATCATGCCGAAGTTTATTTCAACGTAAGTAACAGCCGTGAAATTCAATGCCATTTTCTCCAATTAGTTGGATTCCAATCACGTTCTACCATGGAAATACATATTTCATTCGATAAGAAGAGTGATAATAATGAGTCAATTTGTTTTGTCTTTCAGTTGCTATGCAGTGTTGATCCAAGATTGTTGAAACTAACACCATACGATGATCAAATCTATCAAGCATTTCGAGAAGAATTCCCCAGTTTCAATGTCGCCAAAATGACTGAAAACGAACTGAAAAACCCGTCGGCAAAGCAAAAATGGCGAAGTTTCATCGAAAAATTCAACAAACTCGATGACTATAGCTACGGTACATTGATGCGGGCCGATGCCAGCCAAGATTTTGGGCCACACAATTCGATTTTAGTCGTTCGTATTCAATTTTGGGCCATCGAAATAGCCCGAAATCGCGAAGGACACAATGATAAAATTCGCTACAAATACAAACCTACACCAGCTCAAGACGACAACGAAGGAGGAGAAGAACAACAATGAGATTTCCGTTGGAATAGCCGATTCGAAAATGCATCATCTAATTGTATAAGCTAGGATAATTACAATACATTTATAAATGAATCTGAATAAAAAAAAAACCAAATCATTTTCATAAGCATGATCTCTTTCTCATTTGATGGAACAACATGATGGAAAGTAGCAAAAAACAGCAGAAATGTGTTTGTGTGTATTTGATATGTCATCGATAGATGTCGTTGCCTGTTCACACGTGATGGTTTCATCTATCAAGACCGATTGACTTTTCTGTATTGTTCAAGTTTTGGTTAGCTCAAAACAACAGAAAAAAAATTACCTAAATGATCTCTGTGTGTATTTCATAGATCAGCCCATATTTACAGTTCGTTATGCATCCGGATTTGTCACCACATTTGCACACCGACGAATGTAACAAATTGGTTCAAGAATTGTTTGCATGCCGTAAAGATGTGAGTACAATTGAATACCGTGACCGCTGTCGCTCCAGCATTTTGTTTATGTAATTCATTTCATTTTGTTTCCCCCGCAGAATCTATTTCTGAAGTTTTTCGGCAAATGCAACACACCATACGATCGAATGTTAGCCTGTATGAAACAGGAGCGATTGGCACGACGAGCAAAAAACGCAGAGACCGCACGGCAAAAGCAAGAATTGGTGCGTGAAAAGGTGAAAAAAGATAAAACTGATTACGACGAATTGTTGAAACAGTATCGAAAGGAAGCCAGACCATCGTCCAACTGAACCACCGCCCTAAAACTAGTGAATTTTTAGTTATATTTTGTAGAAAAACGAAAATGGCTGACATTAATTTAGAACAATATTATTTCAATCCCGACTCAGAGGTGATTTGCGGTGATATGGTGCCGCCGATTAACGATTCACACAATTTCGACTATGATAACTATCCATCGGTGGTCGAACGATACTATACCAAATACTATTATTTCCGAAATGGTGACATCAATGAGGCACACACACTGTTGAATCATTCGAACAGCATTTGTTTGGTTGGTTTGGCTGACACTCACATTGCCGTTAAAAAGGGCATAAAATCGATGACCTTTGACGTTGGCAATTTTGATCGAAGCAAAAATCAAGTGACTGGCAAAGGTAAAAAAGGCGCCATGAATCTACAGGTCACCTCTTGTTTGGCCATTGTCACGTGTGACGATGATTCGACGTATCGCATTTCTAGCACCATTCAGGGTAAATTAATTGAAGTCAACGAACGCTTATTGTCGAATCCAAAACTCATTGGCCAAGATGGACACGGGTACATCGCAATTGTGCTACCAAAACTTGACAAATGTAAAGAACAACTCGAAAAACTGGTCACCGAAGAAGAGTATCAGGCCCAACTCAAGCAGCAAATCGATGAAAATGGTGTAGAAATTAAGTCAGTTGTTTAAATTTTATTCGTAAATTGTATGAAATAAAAAGCTTAACAAATCAAATTACAACTAGTCTGATATAATGTTTGGCAAAGATCACGATGCATCGTTGTTTTCATGTGATTTTACTTCTAAAACCGTGTATTCTTCCCCTGTATCAGTTGTTAGTATTAGATGAGTATTACGAAGCTCGGTCACATGAAATGTTGTTGATTCCTCATCTTCATCTTCCTCTTGAATTTCAATCGGTTGTACTATGTCTTGCTCTTTGTCCGCATCTGATTCATCTACTTCTCCCTCTTCGACACCAGCCTCGATTCGTTTTCTTCTTCGCTCTGCCTCCTCTTGACGTTTCATCTCGGCCAATTCTTTGGGATGTGCATTCTTTCGATGAGTGTAAAAATTGGTTGAGCTATTGAATGATCTCTGACAGAATGGGCATTGGTACTTCGTTGTCGAACCATGTTGAGCTACGTGAACGGTTAATGCACGTTTCATTTTAAAATCTCGACCGCAATGATCGCACACATATGGCCGGACATTGGAATGTTGTGTCACCAAATGACGATTCAAAAGTACTTTTTTCTTTGTCACATAGTCACATTTGTCGCAACGAAATTCGACATCACTGTGGAGGACCATGTGCGTTTTAAGGCATCGCAAATTCATCAACCATTTGCCACATTCGGTGCATTGCATCTGGCCCTTTTCACGCGGCTGATGGATTGTCATCATATGCTCATGGAGACCGGTACGTGTTGAGAAGTTCTTCGCGCAAATATGGCACACATTCGATTGGAGCGGTTTTGCTTCACTGTGGGCTAATTTCTTATGCGTTGACAGACCACCCGGAGTATCGTATCTAAGCGGAAGAGAATTGAATTAGTTGGACTGACAGTCTAACGAGTGAGTTGATTCAATGGATCAATGGATTAATGAGGAATTTATTCAGTGAATCAACGAGGAATTTAATTGAAAATTACTTAAATAAATATGTGACCTACGTTCGACCACAAACATGGCAAATGTACTGACGCCGTTCACTGGCTGGCTTATGACTAATCAAATGAATACGAAGCGCACTTTTCCAGCAAAATCGTCGTGAACACTCAGTGCACGCATATGGCTTTTGGTCATCAGGTAAATGAGTTTGCTTATGACTCTGAAGGAATCGGGGCCGTGTCACTACGTAACCACATTCGTCACATCTACAATGAGAGAAAATAAATAGAAATCCATAGAAATCAAAGATTAATTTCTTATCAATTAACATAAACCTTAAACTTATTAATAAGAACGAATAGCATTCTTTTTAAATTGATTTGTATTTTTTTTCATTAATTTAAAACGACAAAATTGAATATGGATCGAATCAATGGAAAAATAAAAATAAATTCAAATACTAAAAAATAATCACTTGAATGCATCTGGTTGCAAATGTCGTGCCATATGCATGATGATGGCGGGGTATCGAGTGAATTTAGTTTGACAGCATTCCACATAGCCTTCCTCTTTGTGGCCATTTGTATAGTGGTCCAGTAAGTCACTTAGTTGCCTGAAAACATGAAAACAATTCGATTAGATGGAAATTTGAAGTTTCTTCAATAAAGAATTGAATGGATTGAAGGAAAAATAAACTTTGAATCAAACTGAAAAAAAAGTATCGACTTACTTGAATCTTCGTTTTTCCTCGCATAGCTTGCACTCCAAGTTGTAAAACCTGTTCAAAAAATCATTTATTTTTAAAATCGATTAATTTCCACCTCTTCGATATTATTTAAATTTCAAGCATTACCTGCAAATCAACGACATCAGCTCTTTACCTTTAACTTGCAACAGACCGTCTTTGATGATTTGTTTTGGGAATTCGTTGAGAGTTTCTTGCGAAGGCCAATCTTCATTGTCCGAATCTCTAGCTGGGAATTCATTATCACTTTCTCCCTCAGTTCCATCGTAATCTAGCTGCATATTCTCATCTACACAATTTTCTGTAGAATATTTTGATATCGATTGCTCACGATTTTCACTCTTCACTACGGGGTCTGGTGCTTTTTTGATCTGTTTGAGATTTTGAACGAGTTTTTTCATATCATTCTTCATTTTGGTAGTTTGTCGCGTAGTTCTGCCAAAACTTTGTAGTTCACATTCCGAATCCTTTTTTGTGGTGATTCTTGATTTCCGTCTCGATCGTGTCCTCGTTGATATAACTGCTTTGTCTTCAACATTTTCAAGCTCACCAGTTTCCATCAATTCGATTTCGGTTTGTTTTTCTTCATTCGCTTTTTTACTCCGTATCACTGGAGATGTTTCATTTTGAAGCGGTTCGACGTTGGCAATTTCAGTGGTTTGATTGTTTGCATCACCATTATCAACCTCGAGCAATTCAAACTCTTCGAATTCCGGTTCTATTGTTGGTTTATTCTCCGGATCTTCAGAGATCACAAACACCTCATACATGTTGCCATCATCGTCAACAATTGTATCGTTTTTCTTCTCGGGCCCACTATTGATCTGTTCTCTATCTATGTATTTTGGTCGCAGCACAACCGCCTCGTACTCTTCTTTACTCAAATGCAACTTTTGGATGTCATTTATCTAAAAAAACATTTGAAAAAAATTAATTCAAATTTCAAGCAAAAACAAGTGTAAAATAATACCTTTTCGTAGAAACGATGAAAAGTTTCCAGGTGTTGTGTACACATCCAGCATACAGTTTTAGGCAATGCATCATTATCTGATACCTGACGAGAGAGGAACAGAACGAGAAAGGATTCAGAACTGAGTACAAACAATTCAAAAGTTTCAATACAACCAATTTCCTCAAATAATTTACCGAAAAGTATAAATATTTGTTGATTTTGCCGATATAATCGAAAGCGTGGCCTTTTTCACTAAATATATCGGTGGTGTCGACTGTTTCATAATAGCACAAACGGCAAATTTCCTTTTGACTGGAATTCATCATGACAATTCAATCAATAGCCATCCATTAAAATCGATGCACACACGATACATTCAATATGCTTTTGTTTTTGCTATTCCGTAAAAACTCATTATTGCAAACAATGTTGTTTATGATATTATGTTTATGTTTCCATTCTCTCGTATTTGTTTGATACTTTTCATTCGCATTCCCCATCAAAATGAGCAACTTTCACACACATACATACACTCTCTCTCTCTCTCTCTCAGTCGTCGTTCAGTGGAAATGTCAAATTGAGCTACATCCATAGCGGTTGATACAAATTATTGAATTATTATTGTTATTCTACAGTTAGAATGAGTTCTCTCATATATTTTCTCTCTGTCGCGTATATATATGTATCTATATTAAAAATAAAGTAATATACGTAAATTATGTGACTGGTTCATCAATCAAAATGTCTAAAAGTTGGAATATTAAAATGATTACACTTTCATTTCGATTAAAATTTGAATTGAAAACCAGACCGATTATGCGTAAGTAATTTCAATACATTGAAATGGATATGTTTGGCTTAAGTATGATTACTTTTCGAATTTATTAGACATGCAGCCAGTGGTTTGTCTAAAGGTTTCCTGTTGAATTCGTATTCAGTAATCTATAAGCACAACATGCGATAGAGATGGATAGAGAGAGAAACAAATTGTCGCACCGATGGAAAAAAAGAAGAAAAAAAAGTCACTGACATCAGTGGTGCAAGTTTGCGACGAATCCACTTCCATAAATTATCATTGTTAATAAATCAATCAATTAAAAGTTTGTGTTGCAATTTACGCATTAGCCTGTCAATCTTAACTACATTCGTGTTACTAATTTATCTATCTGCGCGATCGGTGATCAGTTAATTGATTTTAGGTAAATTACAATACTTCGAATGTGGTTCAAATCAATTGCTTGATACTTACAATGTATTTTTTTCTTTTTTTTTTTATCATTATTGGCAATTATTCATGGCAATCGGCTATATGGCATTAAAAACCCCGCGCGTTGATGATCTTTACCTTCAAATTCAATCAATTTGGCCATTGAGTTGAGATCAATATTCAATTTTTGCTTGATCACACCGAATTCATTTGATTCGACTTTTGTTTTTCAGCACCATCGAGAAATGTCTGTGCGAGTTGAGTGTTTCAATAACAAATGCAATTAGTCGATGCCCATTCAAAATGGTTACCATTTTGTAAGCATAATTTATGCGAAGCATTGCGATTTGACGCCGTTTACGAGCATTTCGTGGTCAAGTGCGTATATGTCATTCAAAGAATGTTCCATGTGAGTTCCTCCTGCAATTTCAACCAAGATAACAACAACAACAAAAAAGAGTAACATTGAAACATATGACACATGTAAGTCGACAAAAAAAACAAATCATAATAGTTAAATTCATCGTAGTACTCTTGAGCATCGGAAATCCGAAAAATAAATTGACACTCGACCACACACATGCACGAACATTTGAGTGGATTGTATCGTTTCATAGATTATGTCTATGAAGTGGTCTTGGTTACGTTGCCCATTGAATGCAGCACCACTCTAAACGCGATTTGAATGTTGACTCTTTTTGTTCGTAGTTAACTATGCTTACGATATTTTATATACACGTTATAGTTTTCGTTCTATTCATGAATATTCCATGTATATACTCTTTGTGCGCTCCATGTGTACTGTGCCAATACGCTATAAATCATACTACTGCAATCGGAACGACACACGTCCAACACACTACGGTTCTGGTTCGTCCAACAAACGCTCGCTGGCCCAATGGAAAGGGAATTTCTTACGGAACGGAACATATAAAGGAAGAGCATGCATTGCGATTGACGCTAGTTCAACATCACGCTATCTACCGAATTGCCAGTACAAAAACCACCACTGTGCTTTTTGAAAGAACTATTTACCGAAAAAATAAATAAAACAACAATAACGACACAACGTGCCCAAGAAAAAAAAACGTTCTTGCGATTTTCCCGTTTTATGCATTTTCAAGCAACTATACATCGATTTTTTAAGCGAATTATCTCGATAAATCTTGACCGAAAGTTTTTTTTTCCTGAAGGCTATCCCAGCTGCAACTTCTGTTCTTCGAACAAAACCAATTAGTGGATTTTATTCAAGTTTTTAAGTCGTTGTACAATCTTTTTGTTTTTGGTGTGCAAGTGTAAAAACAAAAAAGAAATACAGACCAACTTTGTTTTGAAAAGTGAGTGTAATTTAGAATTTAAAATGTTATCAATTGATTTCCGTTTTGACCGTTAGGTTCTAAAATTTGTCCGTTTGTATTTAGCAAATTGTCCATTTGTGCTTAGTTTATGTCCACAGTTCATTCATTATTTGTATAGAATCCGACGAATTTGTAGATACACATTTTTTGCACTGTTTATTGCATTAATATTAATAACATAGGAAAACAAAAACAATTCGTGTGGCGTAGTTGATTATAGCTGTCGCTTTTTTTCTCACACAGTTTAATCGATGGGCCAAAAGAGTAACAACGTTCAATCGTTGATTGAGATTGACGGTTTTATTGGGGTTGATTTTGTGGTTTTAGTAGAACTATGCGTTTCAAACACGTTTCCTCGTACATGTTTATAACTGTAATTTTTTCCTGTTGCGTTTCTTCTAAAAATATGCCACTCGATTTGTTCATAATAATCAAACGGTTCAAAAGGTCATTGTGCTGTTGTTGGCCAAAGTGTGTTTGAATCATATGTAAATCTGATTACCTTCGAATTCAGAAAAAAAAACCGAAGAAAGAAAGAAGAATTATTTCAGATCAATCTGCAAGAAACATGAACGATGGTTTTCAAAATTTCCGTTGTAAATATTCTGAATAATTTATATTTGAGTAACCAGAGTTGAGTTGTGGGGTCAACTTTGCCGGTGGGGTCAACTATGATTAGTTACCGTAGATGCGTCTACTTAATGTGACTTAAACAATTGGTGCATCGTCAAAATAATTAACCGGACGTGTGCAATTCCATGGCACAGTTTAATTATAAATTGAAATCTCTTTTCTCTCCTAAATGCAATTTGTGCGCTGCGCTGTTGGGAATGGAATAATTTTATTAATTCGACCCAAAAAACACAGGCACCAACAATTTTCTTCAATTAGTGAAATAATAATTTGTAAACAGAGGCAGTTCAGTTTAGTTCTGGTTTGTTTTGATTAAGCTAAATTTTGTCGACGCCGACGCCAACGACGACATTTGTGGTGACGCTATAAATGCCAGAGGTATAGACTTACCAATAATAAAAAAGGTTAGAGGAGAGAGAAAAAAAAATCGCAGTTATCGCACTGCATGCGAACTGAGTGTCCTTGATTAGAAAAACATTTTATTCTAGCATTTAATTAAAACCAATCAAATAGCAAATTCTTCAACAGCAAAACAAACCATCACTTCCTGTTATTTTGAAAAGGAAGAAAAAAAAACGAACCAGGAAGAGGTGAGCATGATTTGGATTATAAGGGTCCATCGTTGAAGATTGTCTTTGTCGACTGCTGTTTTGGCTGGACACTATTTTCGGACTCGAAGCATGGTTCAATGTCAATCACCTTTCATATGATTGCAGCAACTGTATTCACGTGCGTTAGATTCCTCGGAATGTCGCGTGCTGCGCTCTATTCACACACTGCCCCCAAAATCTGCTCCGCTCTCGTATGACCTTGACCATCACCTCTGGTCTTGCTCGTATTTATGGATATGGTGCGGTCTTTATTGTAGCGCTCATGCGCGACGCTCAATTCATTTGGTTTACTTCTTTTCTTTCTTCTTCTTCTTCTTCTTCACGTCAATGTGTTACAAATCTGTTGAAGGCTCTCTCGCGTGTAGCGTAAAATAGTAAATGATAAGTCGTTGGTTGTTGTTGATGGTTGTGTCTTTTCACGCGAGAAAAAAAGAATTGCTTGGTGTACAAAGGCGAAATAGAATAATTGTAATTTTCTGACATTTCAAAGACCAACAAAGAAAAAAAAACAAACAAATTGATGATTTTTGGGGATTTCCTTGAACTCGAGCAATCGATTCTCTTCCGTGATGATGTTGAGGAAATCTACGCTATAAATATACACAAACCAATAAAACCATTCAATTCTTCGAAAATCTGCTCAATCATCAATACCATGATGATGTTGCAATAAATCACGTACAATTTGTTCTACTTAAGAAACTGATGCAACATCTTTTCGTGTTTCGTTCGTGCGAAAGTTCGCGTTTGTTCAAAACCACACTACAAATTATCATTGGCCATTTAATTATGCATTTAAATATTTTAAGCATTTCCAGCGAAAATTGCCGGAATAAGACGGTTATCAAATGTATGTCAAATTTAATTCATGTGTATGAACAGAAAAAAAAAATAATTATCTCTTTAAAAAAACAAGTGAGTAGAATGAGCTGATGTGCTGTTTTCTTTTCTGTATGTTTGAATCAGGCCTAATAGGCCTTAATGATTGAGTAATTCACTCGAACGTGATTGCATCGAATATACGCAACCAAATCAATGGAACGCGAGTAGTTGTTAAGATGCAGACAGTGTGTAAATAGAAAATTAATTATCAATCAATCCCTTGTACATAAAAAAATATCTATAGAAAAATCATCAATTGCAACAGAGCGGACACTTCTGAATTTGACCGCAACACATCAACGATGAATATTGGCTCATTGAATTCGAGTCGGGCGATCTTTACAAAACCAGATACATTTAATCCGTCACAAGCACCTGGTTCTATGCAACGCTGCATATCTGTATTCAAAATGATATGTCTCTTTTTTATTTGCATCATTTCGATGCTGAAAAACTTGCTGCAAAATCCATACAGATACTACTGACTAGCTCTTGATGACTTTTTGTGGTTCAGCGACCGTTGACGCAACATTACGAGCGGTTGCAGTTTCTCGGCTCAATAAAATGTAATTAGTGAACTGAATGTAATATGCACACCTGAATACACTGCCGATTTTAAATTCATCAATACTGTAGCGTGTTTGCAGATAAATTAATGTACGCGAAAACACCTACAAGTAAAGTTTTTAATGTCGTTGTTGTGTTGTGTGTATGTTTTGCTTTGTTTTAATTCTGGTTCGTAGTAAAAAAAAAAATTTCTTGCGTTCAACTTGGATTTCAAAATTGAAAACCTCAACCATTCAGAGCCACTTACCATTGATCGTTCGTACAAATTGGTTTGCGCTGCGCTGTAATGGTTTAACGGTTTAATTCTGTGCACATTGGCTTCGATTCGTCTTTCAAATGCTGCAAAACTGTTGCGATTTTACCTTTGAACAAAGTATATTATGCCGTTTTTATTGTGCTTCGTTCATTAGTTTCTAAGTTGAGTTTTGTGTGTTTACGCGGTTTTGTTCATTTTTAATTGATGGACAACCTTGACACAAGAACTCCATCGACCATCGCGCTTTAGACAGGAACCCAATAAACAGAACAACACAAACCGTGCTAGCTTGAGCTCTCACACAAACAACGATGTCATTAAAAAAAAAAATTATGCTACACTTTCGCTTTTTATTATAAGCTCGTTTCGCCATTTATGATCATGATATCATCATCGAGTAAAGATCTCTCATGCAAAGCACGTGTGGAAATGATGGGAAAATTAGAGGCTCATTAGATGTTGTAAAATGGAAATAAAATATGATAGATTAAGCTTAAACATTCAATATTTGTATTAGGAACATTTCGATGCCATGTAATCTAGCCATGATTTTTATTGAGCTGTGGGCAATGGAAATACTATGGATCTGAGAACTATAAATACATTTCGCTGCATAATAACAATAATTGCGATCTTTACTTTACGCACAATAAATACTAAAAAAAAATTCGCAGTTTAAATGCAGTTACCACTTTCGTAGTTAAAATAGAGAGAAAAAAAATCATTGTAATAAGTAGGTGAATTAAAGTTCTGATGCAACCGCTTGCATATAAATGTTCCAGCACCGACTAATGGGCCATTTAGTTGAATTTTTAGCGCCGTATCCGCCGTATTTAAGAGTTTAATCAAACGCCAATAGTTTAGTTGTCTATGCATAAACTTTCAGTCCCCACGAATTGTGAGTAAAAGATAGAAAAAAAATTTAACGATAGAACGGATTGCGAGCAAAATTATAGATAACATATGAATAAAAGTGTGCCCTTGAAGTGATACATATATTTAACATTGAGTTCAAATAAACATGTACTTAAGATAACCATTTCCATCGGCATTTGTTAAGCAATCAACTTGTTATTTTCCACAGAATCGAAAACTCGTCTCACACGAAATGGGTTCAATACCAGAAGTATCAATCATAAAAGGTTTAAATCGAGATAACAGTACACATCGATTGCATCGTATTTTCGAGGCAAACTTGAATTCACCGGATTGTGGAAATAAACCAGCTGTCATTTTCAGCAATCGTTGCGATGAGGATTGTCAACTTACCTACAATCAGCTCAATCAGTACGCAAATCAACTAGCCTCCGTGCTAATTCATCGAATCAGCACGAGCGAATTGGAACCGAATTCCGATGGTGATTGGATCATTGCCGTGTGTATGCCTCCAAGCGATGAACTGATCATTACTTTGTTGGCCATTTTGAAGACGGGCGCTGCTTACCTACCCATCGATGTAACGTTTCCAAAAACTCGCATCGATCATATTCTGCACGAAGCGAAACCGGCTCTCGTCATTTACGATAACAATGCAGTTGATCGCAGTTTATTTGATAATGCAGCAGCTTTTTCGTACTATGAATGCAAAGCCTTGGCAATGAACTATGATGATGCAAATATATCCGATGCGCGTAAACTGCAATCGGCCGGCGGTGGACACTTGGCTTTGGTGCTTTACACATCTGGTAGTACTGGTGTTCCTAAAGGTACAACCGAATGTAAATATAATGAATGTATACATATATCACTGTTCGTTTTCTTGATTTACAGGTGTTCGATTGCCGCACGCCGTACTCATGAATCGATTGCAATGGCAATGGGAAACGTTTCCATACTCATCAACCGAATCGATTGGTATATTCAAAACAGCATTGACTTTCGTTGATTCAATATCGGAAATTTGGGGCCCATTGTTGACCAGTAAGTTTGTACATCTCGAAAATGCCATTTTTTCATTCACATTCACATTTTTATATACATTACAGAGAGAGCCATATTGGTCGTTTCGAAGAGTGCCACGAAAGA